GATACTCACAGAACACAAATCTTCTACTAAATGAGAGCGTCGAGCAATCGTAGACGTTATGCTCGATGGTCTCATCTTCTTGTTCGCATGACAGCCCCATGATATGGAGATGCTTCCGTACTTGACAATGACCAATCAGAAAGCCTGTGACTAGGCGCAGATTCTGTCTAGTCATAGTACATATTTGTTTGCTGTAGTGTTGTCAGGATAACTTAAAAGCACCATGGCAACTCTGCAGTTTCTTGTTTCATCCCATCTTTCCTTGAATTTCCCAAGGGAATGTTCTTTAATTAGGCCGGTCACTATCGATTTCGTCGGGCCAATATATAGAAGGGCCTAGTCCAAAAAGTATTTGGTTGCCTGCTTTCTTGGCCAGTGACCTTTGATCCATCTTAAGATGATCACATTGTTGATGGACATTCGTGACATTCTTTTGTGTATTTGTGTTGCTTGTAACAAAACATTTATTTTCAACTTTATATTTATTGAGAAGCTAGTTTACAACATTATTGTGCGCCAAAACGAGCCAGATGTTCTTGACTTGACAAACAGTATAGAACATATGTTTTTATAGAAAAGACAGTTCCAATGTTACGTTCCGATTATTTACTATTAAATAGAACTTTCCAGTTATCAGCACAGGTGGTTTTATTTGCCTTCTTGGCCTTTCAGTTTTTTCTATGAACTTGCAACTGTCTCTTCTAACAACTCAGAACTACTTTCAACATTTTCCTTATCGCTCATAGTATCTACTAAGCTACCACTAGCTCCTATTCCTTATTAAGATCTTCCTTGCTTTCACTTTTCTTTTAACTCACTTTTTCATTTTCATCCCTTGTAGGAGATAGGTCTTTCTTAAAATTGTTAAGTACAGAACTATCATCTAATATAATCATTTCAGTTTCGTCTCACCAGATTCTATTCCAACCGTGCGGAGGCGTGTCCAAGGGGCTTTTGATTTCGATAAATTTGAAATCAAAATAACTATATAAAGAATAAATGGAAAGTATTTAGAATAAATACAATCGTTATGATGTAAATGTGTATTTTGTTCCATATGGGTATGTCATCCTAACCTTTAACATCTCCGGCCCGTAAAGGGCTTTCGTTACATGATGATTCCTAAATGGAGGACAAGGAAGATCACCGGTGCAAATAAACCCTTAATCGATGAAATTTAGGATGAACACTGAGGGAATGAAGAAATGTACCCAAATGGCTAGAAAACATGTTAGGCTTATTTTGGTTTCTTCAAAATGTACAGCAAACCGTCCGAGATCCAGTGTAACAATTAAATATCAAATAATTTGTCGCGTAACTTTTCAAATTTCCACTGGTCATCTAGTACTCGGACAGTTTTCAACAAAACTACCTTTTGACAACTCGGACTCTGCGGCATGTAGCTCTTACGACTTGGGTAGAAGTAGCCATCAGGTCACCCTTCCAGAGATTGTTTAGGAAGCTGATGGATTGTCAATAGGCTGTTCTTGGTCTGATAGATTCTATTAAGCATGACGAACAAATAGAGTTGTTAATTTAACAGAAGATAGATATGTTTAAACGTGCCTTAGCAAGATTACTACTATTAGCTTACAAAAAATAATACAAGAAAGCCTAAACTTTTTCCAGAGGTTATAAGATCTATTAGTTACTAATGATACAAACTTTGACATTCATTTAAAAGATGGTGATATTTTAAATGTTACTAGCGAACTAATTTCGACTTTAAAAACAGTATTTCATTTAGACGATCTTGGGAATAGAAGACAAAAATATTGAATAAGTCTTATGAAGAACAAATGCCGCTCCTGAATAAGTTATAACAGTCACTTTCAATTTTGATCAATTATTTTTTAACTTTGTCGGCTGCTATATTGGATCCGCCATTTAGTATTTATAGTTTTTAAAGACATATTCAAAATCAGTGACCTCGAAAACCCCTTAGAAACCATCCAGGTTTAATATTTATACAAAACAAGCAATTTTTAATATTTTCTAGCGCCATATTGGATCCGCCA